GCATAGCCGACCTGCGGCTCAAGGCCAAGGAACACGCAGCCCAGCTCCCTCATCTCAACATCCTCGCCAGGAACAGCACGGGGAAAGAGGTGTGCTAAGGCACGGCTGCCGGCCGCGGGGCTCGGGGGGGACTGGGATGGATTCGGGGGTCGGTTTGGGGTTTGGTTTTTGTGGGGGGGAGGGTTGGTTTGGTTTTTTTTTAGGGGGTGGGGAGAGAGAAAAGAGAGAAGGGAGAAAAGAGGAGAGTGAATACGCGGATAAAGGTCACCTCAGACAGCACGACTCAAGACCAAACGGGGGAAAAATAATAATAATAATAATAATTACATAATAATAATAAAAAATAATAATAATAAAAAAAAGGACCAGCAGCTGAGACTGGGGTAGGTTCTCGAGTTAGGAGCGCCTTTCGCATCAGCCCTCACACGAGTGACCCGGCACTCGCAAGCTCCTTGAATAAGTAACTCCTTGGCTGGTACATTTCTGAAATGTACGACGTTTTCTTTTCCTCCCTGGGCACTGAGAGAGGGAAAAAAAAAAAGAGAAGAAAAACAAACAAACAAACAAAAAAAAAGCCCTAATAAAGTTATTATATATTAGCGTTACGTACACGAAATATTTTTCCTTCTGTTTATCTGGCAAGAAAAAAAAAATAAAAAAGAAGAAACAAATAGAATTGTAATTAAGAAAAAAAAAAAAAGAAAAGAAATGAGAGGGGGGGGAAAGCTACCCACATCTTCTTAAAATAACATCCCAGGATGTTCGTTAAGTTGGTCCGTTAGGAGCACTGGAGAACTGTTATTTCAGATGTGGCTGCAGCGAGCTGCACACACTAACCAAGGATGCTGCCAGTGCAGACGGCGAGTAGATTTGATGCTGTAAGATAAACCAGTGCACTTAAGGGAAAGGGTATATCTTTTTCTTGTTATATTCTTTATCACTACACCAACCAAGGTTTTTATATCAAACCAAAGGGAAATACACTGCTAGAATTATGGACTGTTTAAGTCACTAAACTGTGATTATTGATTCTGTACATACCATTGTTATAAAAAAAAAAAGAACAGAGCTTTGTATATTTGAAATGTTATAAAACAATTGCACTCAGTGTAGTGTTGTAAAAGTTTGTCATTCTGTAGATTCTTACTGTGTTGTAGATATAATAGGGTTCCTAGACAAATATTTATGTACAAACCCTTTATTTAACTTATTAACTGTAGAGGTTTCTGAAACCCTCAAGAGGCGATGGTACAGTACTTTTTCGTGTAATGTCGTTATTGTTAACACTTTTCCTTGCTATCCGGTGGAGAAGTGCCACGTTCAGAAAATAAACAAAAATATATGTTT